ACCGGACCTTCGGCAACTCGGCGGAGCTCGCGTACAGCCATCTGAAGAACCTGTATCAAGCAACAGACAGTGTAAACCAGAGCAGGTTAATGGCGCAGTTGACGTCAGTTGAAATGAAACCAGGAGAAAAAGGACTGGCGTATATCAGCCGATGTCGCGAACTACGCGACAAGCTGCTTCGATGCGGAGGGTCAATCTCTGAAGACGCCTTCGTGACAGTCATCATTGGTGGGCTTGGTCCTCAGTGGCGCGCCACCAAAGCCATTCTTCGAGCCCACGGAAGAATCTCTGAAGCTGCACTCTGCGCCGAAATACATGCCGAGCAACAAGATATGGACCTGCAGGAAGAACGACACAGGAAGAAAACGACAGTATCAGAGTTCGCATTCCACACTCAACGACGACACAGCAATTATAACAACCGACAGCAGCAACCGAAGATAGTACCTCCTTTCTGCCACATCTGCAAGACTTCAGGGCACCCGCGCACACACTGCCCGAATCGTCAGCAATCAACGGCATCACAGCGACAACTTCGACCTTCAAGCTCCCAAATGGCTTCAACACAAGCAAGTGCGACGACCACTATTCAAGCTTCAACGACTTCACAACCTGCACGAGGAGCAAGAAACATAATCAACTGCATGACGAAGATAACCGATTCGTGTACAACCGAATCACCACCACACTACTCACCGGAAGAAGAGCTTGACAACAGAACGCCTCGCCGTGAGCTACTCCAGCCGAATCCAACGTACGCCGCCATCGCTCAAAGTGAACCGTCCGGCCAAGACACCTGGTTCTTGGACAGTTGCTGCGGGCAACACATGTGCTCGTCCGGGCGTTTCGTACAACGCGAACATCGACTCCAACGGGAAGTAATCATCACGGTTGCCAACAACCAAAACCTGCGCACACGAAGACAAGGAGTGGTACAACTTCAGTCAAGAGAAACAAACGTCATACTGCACATGTCTAAGGTACTCATCGCTGAAGGACTCGGCTACAACTTACTGAGCGTTAGCCAGTTGATGGCGAAAGGAATTCATCTGGAAGCCGACAGCACGACCCAGGAGTTCAAGCTTTACCACGGGAGAGGCGGTCTCTACATCGGAAAAGCAGTGCTGAAGAACAACGTCTTCGTCCTCGACTTCGTTCCTGACCTCGGCACTACAGACAGCGACGCCATCGTGAATTTCACTGATTGGACACACCCTCCGGATCTCGACCCCGACTTCAGCCCGGGAGGCTTCTGGTACTCGCACACCATTCCTGAAGCAGAACGAACACGAGCATTAGCAACAATTCGACAATCGGCAGCAGTAACAACATCGACATCAGCAGCAACAACATCGGCAGCAGTAACAACATCGACATCAGCAGCAACAACATCGGCAGCAGTAACAACATCGGCAGCAGCAACAACATCAGCAGCAGCAGAAACAACGACACCAGTCACAGTCAACGAAGCACCACCAACACCCGCACAACAGCTGAATCCGACTCAACGTGAAGTCCACCGAAGCGCCAACCTCGTCGCCAGCTTTTACTCCAACTCCGACGCATATCAGCGTTCACCTGGACACCGCGCCTCTGAAGAGATCTGGCACGCACGAACAGGACATCCAAGCAACACGGTTTTGAATAACACGATAAGAGCAGGAGTCCTTGACAAAGATTCTCTACTTCTACCCGATGGCAGAGAACTCCAGAAGGCACGAGGGACTTGCCTTATATGTCCCGAAGCTGACTTACCTCATCGACCGTTTGCTTCACATCACAACCCGAGCGCTCCAGCGTACGCACCACTCGAAAAAGTCTACAGCGACATCCTCTACAATCGCGAACCAGGACAAGTCAACTACAACTACACCATCACCTTCATCGACGCCGCCACTCGATACGTCTGGCATCGCAACCTACCCAGCCGCGACATGGCGCTCGCAGCATTCGCCGCCTGGCTACCGATAGCAGAGAGAGAGTCTGGAACACAACTAAAAAATTTCCAGTCAGACGGAGGTGGCGAGTACACCTCTCACCGCTTCAAGCAGTTCTTGGCGGAAAGGGGGATCAAGCAACTCCTCTCCCTTCCCTACGCACATCAGCAGCAAGGTGTTGCAGAACGACTGAACAGGACCCTGCAGAACAGCATGCGCAAACTGTTACGTGGCATGCGGCTACCCAACCACCAGTGGCCAGCAGCAATGGACCACGCTGTCATGCTGCACAACTTGTTGTCGTCGTCGTCACTCCCGAACAACGCATCACCGCATCTGCTGTGGACAGGGAAGCAGGGCAGCACGAAAATGTTACGAGTTTTCGGGTGCATGGTACAGTACAGACCCCCAGAAGCACGAGCGGGAAGATTTTCGCAACGGGCACAGTGGGGACTACACCTCGGCATCGAGAAAAATTACAACGCATGGAGAATCTTCGACGTCCACACAAAGGAAACAGTAGCAGCACGTGACGTGATCTTCTACGAAAGACTCACCCTTCAGACGTACCTCGCCAACTTGCACGAGAATCGGGACCTCACCAGTGGTTTTCGTGGTGACCGAGCCTTCGCATCAGCAGCGGATGAAGCAGACTGGGACGAGCAGAATGTTGACAACGCATCGGCAGAAGCCGGACCTCTCCCGTACTGCTCCGTCAACGTGCCCATGGACGAAGAAAATCCTCGCGACAGTAACAACGCCGAAGTCTTCTACCACTTCGCCGACACCGGTTACGTAACACCTGCAACCGTCAACACAAATGAAGCAGAAAGGATAGGACCGAATTTCATCCCTGATCCAGAAGCGGGAGACGAAGCAGCTTATCCCGAGGATCCAGAACTCCCTCGATACTCACAGACTGGGCTGCAAATCCTCGGCCTCGTCACCGCAGTCCACGGGAACACACGCAGCTCGCTTCCTCAGGAGCCTGCAACGGTTCAGCAGGCTCTGGGGGGGGAACACAGGGAGAAATGGCGTGAAGCCATGGATAGAGAACTGAAGGCATTAGAGGAACGCAACACTTGGAAGGTTGTTCCCGTAAGCGTGGCACGGAACAAAACCATCCTTACCGGGAAATGGGTCTTCCGCATCAAGACGAAAGCAGACGGCACGATCGAAAAATTCAAAGCACGCTGGGTCGTACGTGGATTCGACCAAGAGCAAGGACGAGACTTCACCGAGACCTTTGCTCCAGTCAGCCGCCACACGTCACTCCGAATTCTCCTCGCCATTGCCGCCATGAAGAAGAAGAAGTTACGGCAGATCGAAGTAGCGAATGCCTTCCTCTACGCACCTGTGGATGCAGAAATCTACGTCGAGCTCCCGCACGGTTCCCACGGCGAACCCAACCGAATCTGTCAACTACTTAAGTCGCTCTACGGGATCAAGCAAGCACCGCGACTGTGGCAGCAGTACCTGCACGCCCGTCTCATCCGCATCGGCTTTAGTCAACTACCTCACGACCAAGGCATGTACCGCCTCACTAAGGGAAGCGACTACGTTCTCCTGATCGTCTACGTGGACGATCTCCTCTACATTGGGTCGACCGACGGCATCGCCACGTGGTTCGAAGGAGAGCTCCAGAAAGATCTCACGCTCACGGTCTCCTCCACCGTTACACGTACCTCGGGCTCAACATCCGCGAAGAAGAAAACGCCATCTATCTAAGCGCCGAGAAATACGCCGACACCATCGCGAAACGCTTCAGCCTCACACCAAGCGCCATCTCCACGCCTTACCGCTATACATCAGGAACCGAGAAGGAACGAACTACTCTACTCAAGCCCGCCGGCATACGCGACTATCAGAAGAAGCTCGGATGCCTGCTATTCGCCGCCGTCACCTGCCGCCCTGACTTATCCTACTCCGCAAGTCAGCTCGCCACCTATCTCAAGAAGCCTGAAGCTGAACACCTGGCGGAACTTGATCGCGCTCTCCACTACTTCGTCAGCACCGCGACGATCGGGCTAACCTACCACAAGAGCGCAGCTACACCAACTAAGCTAATCGGCTACGTCGACGCCGATCACGCCGGCGACACCGACAACAGGCGCTCACGCACCGGCTATGTCTACCGCCTTGAGCCTATCGGTCCTATCTCCTGGCAGTCGAGCAAGCAGGAGTTAATCGCACTATCTTCAGCAGAAGCAGAATATATTGCACTCTGCTCAGCCACCAAGGAGGGACTTTACCTTCGCGAACTACTGGAAGAAGCGAAGCTAGCCGAGTTACCCAGCTTCACCGTGTTCTGCGACAACCAGTCAGCAATTCGCATCGCCAACAAAAACGGCTTCGCAAACAGGACGAAACACATCGCCCTGCGCTATTTCTTCGTGAAGGACGAGATAGAAAAGGGGAAACTCGATCTGTCATACTGCCCAACATCCGAGATGGCAGCCGATTACTTGACCAAGAAACTCGGAAAGCAGAAGTTCGAATACTGCATGATGCTGACTGGACAAGGCCACGTCACCAGCAGCGACACTCCAGAAGCGAAGGGGAGTGTTGGAAACAATAAGTCCTAAGTGCGCTTCTGTCGTATCAAAACCCAAGGCACCAAGCGAAGCAGTCCCAATCGGAGCATCGAGTCAACCTCGGAGGTTAGGGTAACCGCCTGGAGGTTACGAGAAAGTCAAAGGTCGCTGACCTTCGACTCGACAATTACAGCGCGACAGTTAAGGACACACAACTGACTCGCTACAGAGCAGTTGCCCGAGTCGCACTGTATCGAACCGCAACAGCAATACAGTTATCTACATATCTATTCGTATTCCTTGTACTCTTATATAAATCCTTGTATTTGCTTGTTTAATTCAATCAACTTTGCTCTCACACACCAGTGCAAGGTCGGTTCAAATTCTTCACTAAACGCTTCCGCTATTACAACTACTTCACCTAGAGTTATCCCTTGCAAAGATCCTAAGGGGCTATCTCAGCCCAACAAAAACTACATTACACGCACACTGCCCCTCGTCATCCCTGCCCGCATAATGCCTCCCTACATCACACTGGGACATGAAGCACGGTGGAACGTCACAGATCTTGCTTTCAGAACTGTTCAGCCCGTTCCTCTGCGGTTCCACCAACACACCAAGAGTTGCCCGTGTCCCATCCTATTTACTGGCCTTTTTCTTCTTAAAGAGACCTGTGATTGCACCCGCAACTTTCTTAGCAGCATTCCCCACCCCCTTCACTGCGCCTTTGGCTGCACCACCCACAGCCTTCCCAACCGCCTTCCCTGCCTTCCCCACCCCCTTCACCGCGCCTTTGGCTGCACCACCCACAGCCTTCCCAACCGCCTTCCCTGCCTTCCCCACCCCCTTCACTGCGCCTTTGGCTGCACCACCCACAGCCTTCCCAACCGCCTTCCCTGCCTTCCCCACCCCCTTCACTGCAGCCTTAGCACCCTTCCCAATCTCTTTCCCCGCTACCACCACCCCCTTCTTGATCTCCTTGTATTTCCCCGCCGCCGCATTCAGCCCCATCATGAGCGGTTTAGGCACCACCGTATTCACTACGGCGTTCACAACCTTGTTTTGCATTATCTTTCCTATAACGCGTCCAACCTTGCCGGATTTTTCAAGGTCCTCTCCAACCTTGGAGAGCATGGTGTCCTTGCCTCCCACGCCTATGATCGACGCAACGCCTCCTACTGCTGATCCGCCCACGGACTCCAGTGCTTTCTTCGCCACAGCCTCTGCCGCCTTTATTGCCACCTTTTCGCCAGCCTTTTTCGCTGCCTTCTTCGCCAGGTCGCTCCCAAGCCTTTTCAAGTCGTTTCCCTTACCTTGCGCGAGCCCCCTGCGGGGTTCTCCGCGGATCTCTGCCGCTTCGTCGCCAAGCACGACTCCCTCGAAGTCGTTGTCCTCGATACTGACGCTCTCGCTGTCCGTTTCAACGACCTGCAGCGGCGAGTTCAGGTCTGTCGCGCCGTCCTTGAGCGCGCGACGGGGAAGAGCGCGCGCCGGCAGCATTGACAGGAGGGAGTGCGGTCCCCCCGGCGTCGCGGAGCTCCCCGTTGAGCGGAAGACAGCTTTCGCGCGCCCCTCGAGCGCAGTGCGCCGCGCGCCGTCCGCGTGCGCGGCTCCTGTGGCCTGGTGGAATGTAGACCAGAAAGATAGCAGGGGGTAGTGAGGGGCGGAGAGCGGTGGGAAAGAAACAGCAAGGAAGGGGTTTGCGAGGAACGAGCACTGCCACATGGACGAGCGAACGCGACGAGCTTCCAGGGATTTAAAAGAACCCGATTCCCGCACTGGCACCGTTCGCGGAGGTTCGGCAGGGAGGGGACGCTTGACCTTGCTGGCGTCGTCGGGAGCGCGCTGCGGGGTGGGCTCCCCGACGCCGTGGAGGGCGGAAGCGCCGACGGCGAGATGCGCGGCGAAAGCGACGAAGAAGACGACGAGGAGCAGGAGATATCGCGAGAGTGCCATGATGGGAGAAATGTGATGAGAAAGAGTCGAAGGGAAGGAACCTGAATACAACGGCTGTGAAACGCTGTGAAACTTCAAATGTGAGCTCCGTTGAACGGCGTAAGGCCCCAGAAGAAGTGGAACTGGACCCCAGGTACGAGGAAACTACTTCTGCTGCTGCTTTTCTACCTCGAGATCGCCACGGGCTTCGATCCCGCAGCGCATCTCGCTGCGAGCCTTTCTGGCAACATGCGCTACTAGGCGTAAGGCAGATTGGGAACGTCTCGCCATGAATTGCGGGCTTTGTTGGATCTGCAATGATTGTGGATCAAGGGGCAAGGTGGCAGCGCCTCGCGCAGAAATCCGGCAGCGAATTGCGGAGAGCTCCAGCCGCGGAGGATTAGTGAACAACTAGACGAGCATCTGCTACAACTTGAATGGCCGCTGCTAGCTGCGGTAAGGATGGTGGTGGCCCAGTTGAAGATTATTTGTGGCGCATTTCACGCAGGCGCCGCGATAGGGGGAGCAGTGGCGACTGCGCGAAATGGTAACCGTGCAGATTGTGATTACAGATGTTCAATTCTTTATCCCAAACCACAAACAAACATAGTTTCTACAGTTTAATTTTAAAACGGTTGCTGCTTCGTTTGTTGGTTGATCTTTTGCCTTCCGAGGGCCAACCATATCCATTTAGTGTGTATCTTAGATCTTTCATCGCAAAAGAGGCACAGTAGTGTTGTGATCTTTACGTTATCCATTCCAGTTCAGTTTTTCGATAGCTTTATAATGATCACTTTATGTAATTGTGTTATTGCTGTCAAATTTGTACATCATATTGTCAAATGTTGTAGTCTTAGTGATGTGTGTCATAGGGGGTACAACTCTTAGGGTTAAGTTTATGTACCTCAACCAATATTGTGAATGCAACGCTTTCATTCTGGACACATATACATATGTACAACTGGTCACTGTGAGTCTTCTTATGCAGACGACGCTGAGACTCACAAGTCTACTCAGGGGTATTGTTTCAGCCTGGGTTATGGAGCTGTTTTGTAGAGGTCCGCGCGTTCCACCTCGGTCTCGACCTCTACCGCTGAGGCTGAGATCTACGCCTCTGCCATGGCGGCATAGGAGCTACGTTGGTCGACATTCTTGCTCGCCGACCTTGGTGAGCGGCCGAGCTCTGCACCGACTTTGTTCACTGACAACAAGGCATCGATTCTCCTCTGTCGAGAGCCGCGACTGGAGAGCAGAGTGAAGCACATTAACATCAGGTACTTTCTTATGCGAAAGTTGCGGAGACGTGGACAGGCTCGTTTCAAGTGTGTAGAGTCCGAGGCCAACACTGCAGACATCTTCACCAAGGCGCTTCCGCCTTGTGACCACCAGAGGTGCTGTCTGCAGTTAGGCCTTGTTGAGATAGGTTCTCGTCGTGTGTAGATTGAGTATTCTGCTTGCTTTGCTTGTACACTTTGCTTAAATCTTTGTGAACTCTTGGACTGGCCTTGTGGCCTCTTATGTTTTTGCTCAGAGTATGTGGTGGCGTTGTGATCCACCTTGAGCTTTGTTTCTTTATGACTGGTCTTGTGACCGAAAACTTTTGGTTTTGCTTGACCGTAAACCGGCACAAGACCTAGCAAAGTACAGAAGCGCTGATGATCACAAGGCGGAAGGGCCTTGGTGAAGATATCAGCAGTGTTGGCCTCAGAGGCCACGTAGGTGAGAGAAAGTTGACCACGCTACAACAGCTCACGAGCCAGGAAGTAGCGGAGAGCAATGTGCTTCGTTCTGTGCTCCAGTCTCTGCTCCCAACACAAGGCCAGCATGACCTTGTTGTCTACGTACAGAACTAGAGGAGAACGAGGCAGCTCTTCAAGGTCAGTCAGCAAGTAGGTGAGCCAGGGTAGCTCCTGTGCAGCCATGGCCCCTGCGTAGATCTCAGACTCACACCTGGAGCTGAGAACAGAAGACGAGCGGGTAGACCGCCACGAAATAGAGGCGGAGCCAAGGCTGAAGGTGTAACCCTGTGACGACCGCTGCAAAGCCTGGTCGTCAGCCCAAGAAGCGTCAGCGTGACCTGTGAGGACCACTCGACGTCGCCCTCCAAGCACTAGCCCCATGCCCGACGTACTGCACACGTAGCGCAACACCCTCTTCGCTGCAGCCATGTGCTCTGGTCTGTGTCTCCCAGGAGCAACATAGCGTGCCAAGATGCTAAGAGGGTATGCAAGGTCAGGTCGTGTGCAGGTCATCAGGTACATGAGGCAGCCAACAAGCTCTGGGTACGGGCCACTCGACTCTACGGACTCATCCGAAGGCAGAGCTGATAGCGAGTGGCGAGTAAACAGAGGAGTGGCCTGAGGCGAGGAGTACGTGAAGCCGAAGCGCTGAAGGACCTGTTGCACCATGTGTGACTAAGTCAGGGTAATAGTGCGCTGTGCTCGGTCCCGCGTGATCTGCAAGCCAAGGTAGCTGCGCAATTCACCCAGGTCTGTGCACATGTGTCTTTTCTGCAGCTCGGAATTCACGTGGGCGAGTCCAGCAGTGTCAGCAGTGGCAAAGACCAAGTCGTCGACGTACACGAGGATGTAGAACGACGGCAGAGAGGTGTCGGTGCGCACAAACAGCGACGGGTCGGCTGTAGAAGGAGCAAACCCAAGAGTTGCAAGTGTAGTCCTCAGTGTGTCGTGCCACTCACGAGGCACCTGGCGGAGGCCGTAGACTGGCTGCCGGAGGCTCCACTGGGTACCAGGAGGAAACGACCTAGTGAAGCTAGGAGGGCGGCGCAGCCAGATCTCCTCGTGCAGGCTGCCCTATAGGAAAGCTGTGCTGAATTCAAGAGAGTGAAGCTCGTAGTCGCGCTGAGCGGCTATGTGCAGCAACACCCAAAGAGTGGTCATCTTCGGGGTGGGAGAGAAGGTCTGAAAGTAGTCAACTCCCTGCCGGTGACTGAAGCCTCGAGCCACGTAACGCGCCTTGAAGACAGGCGGAGAACGCGGCGACCGCTTCACCTTGAAAATCCACATGCCACTGACGATGTTCGCCCTAGGAGGGGGAACCTCATCGACGTAGGTGCCTCTGGACTTCTAGGAAGCCATCTTTGCGTCCATGGCCGACTGCCACTGAGAGGAGTAGGGACCCTCGATCGCCTCAGCGTACGATCGAGGAGTCAGGATGTCTGGTGCATCCGGGTCTCCCTCAGGGGCAATCAGCATGGACACGAGATGGGGCAAAGCAGCCGTAAAGCACTGGAACTCCTCCTGCCTGTCCTCAAGGACGTCTGTGCTAAGAGCACACTCACCCCCAACGGACGGAGGACAGACAGACTCAGACTCAGCAACGAGACTAGCAGCGTAGTCTAGACGACAGCGAGTAGCGAAGTCGACAAGCTCAGCAACTAGAGGAGACACAGCAATGGACTCAAAGGAAGGGTCAGTGACAACAGTAGCAAGAAAGCGCGTGACCGAAGGACTAGCAGCACCAAGGGAGTCAGACTCGGGGTCAGCCATAGAAGGAAGAGAGGACTCTGGAGTTGACGACAACGGGACACGCAGAGGAGCAGTGGAAGGACGCGGTGCCATCTGGTGTGTGCCGGGAACCACAGGAGGACGTGGACGCGCAGCACGACGATTAGTGCGAGTAGCCCGAACATGCGACGCAGGACGAGACGAAGGATCACGACACTCAGCAAGACCTTTAGTAGGACCAGTGTAGGGAGAAGGAGCAGGTAGCGGGGAGGCAGGCTGTAATCGTGAGGGAGACTGGAAAGGCTGTGGACACGCTAAGGGAGGAGCAGGACCAGGAGAGGGCGGGAGACCAAGAACCTGCTGTAGGAGCGGAACGAAGTACGGCCTCGGCCGCTCAGTGCCTCAAGAACCAGCAGGGACGACACCAGTACCCCCAGCGGCAGCACCAGCGCCAGCAACACCTTGAGCTCCAACAGCGCCAACTCTAGCACCCTCAGAAGCACCAGCGCCAGCAGCACCACCAGCGCCAACACCCCCAGCAGCTCCAGCTCCAGCAGCACCAACTCCAGTAGGACCGTCAGCACCAGCAGCCTCAGCAGCACCCCCAGACGCACCAGCACCAGTAAAAACACCAGCGCCAACACCCCCTGCAGCTCCACCTCCAGTAGCACTAGCACCGCCAGCAGCTCCAGTAGGACCAGCTCTAGTAGCTCCAGCAACACCCCCAGTCTCAGCAGCACGTCTCCAGCGGCGGGCAAACCACTCGCGCAGCTCCTGTGGAGAGAGCGGCTCTCGCCTCGACGAAGTACCGCCGGCGGCCACACGAGCAGACCGAGCACCCCCAGACTCCGCACCCCCAGGCTCAGCACCTTCTGGCTACGCACCCCCAAGTTCAGCACCCGTAGACCCAGCACCCCAAGGCTCAGCACCCCCAGTCTCAGCACCCCCAGACTCAGCACCCCCAGACCCGGCACCCACAGGCTCAGCACCTCTAGCTGCACCAGAGTCAACAGCTACCTCGACAGGCTCGATTGCGTCTACCTGGGACACACCTGACGGGGCAGGACCCTGAGGAGGGAGGGGGTCTACTTGGGGAGGACCTGGCGCAAGGAAGAGCGGCGGCGGGGAGAGGGGCGCAGTGCGGTAGGGGAAGAGACGGTAGTAAGGCATCAACTCGTCAAAGGTGACGTTCTGGGAGGACAGAACACGGCGCGAGGTGGGGTGGTAAAACTGCCACCCAGGCGCGTCAGGGGGGAAGCATAGGAAGACGCAGGGAACTGCACGGGGGGACAGCTTGCCCGCACACAAGTCGCGGACAAACGCCCGAGATCCCCAGACCCGAAACCCAGACGTATCGCCAACCTTCCCGTTCCACCGCAAGGCGGGGGAGGTCTCTGGCAAGGAGACCCGGGGCTGAAGGTTAAGCTGATGCGCGGCGTAATGAACTGCAAACGGCCATAGAAAATGTGGGGCAACCGCATGCATCATGGACGTACGAGCGACGTCCATGACCATGCCAATGCGGCGCTCAGCAATCCCATTTTGCTGTGGAGA